CTCACACTACCACACACACACACACACCACACAACACATAAACACACACGACCCACGAAACACACCAGCACACACACACACACCACATCACACACACACCACACACACACGAACACACCAGCACACACACACACCACACACACACACACCACACACACACACACACCAGCACACACGCACACCACACACACACACACACAACCACACACACCCACACCACACCACACACCACACACACAGCTCGACACACACACACACCACACACACACACACCACACAACAACACACACCACACACGACATACACACCACACACAGCACACACACACCAGCACACACACACACCACCACACACACACACCACAACACACACCACAACACACACCTCACCACACACACACACCACACAATTACACACGACACCACACACACACCACACACACACCTCCACACACACGACAAAACACACACACACACACCACACACAGCACAGCAAACACCACACACACACACAACACCACACACACACACACACCAGCACACACACACACACCTCACACACACACACACCACACACACACGCCACACCACACACACACAAACACCACAGGACACACATCACCACACACACAAACACCCACCAAACACACTACCCGCACACACACACAACACCACACCACACACACACCCCACACACACACACACACACCACACCACACACAACACACCCCCCACACACACATACCCCACACACACACACACTACACACCACCACACGACCACACACCACCAACACACACACCCCACACATCACACCACACAACACCACTACGACACACACGACCCTCACCGCACCCCCTTCCCCTCAATCAAACTTAACCCCCTACATCAACCTAACCCCCACCTTTTTCCACCCCGCGTATCCGAGCGCCTCCTAACCACCCCCCAGGAATTTCCACGACCCTCTGCCAAGAAATCATCCAGGCCACCGCACAACCCCATGGGCTCATGTAGGCACCCCACAAAACAGCTCCCGTTAGACATGCGCCACCAACATGCCCAGCGTCAACTGCAATTTTTGATCACCTCAGCCCACCACAGCAGCACTAAGACAACTAGCATGTATTGTTCCTCCCACGTAGAATAGTGGCAGCCTCAAGATATCTGTATTTAGTTCTGTTGCTTTCAAAGTAAATACGATGTGTTTGTTTACACTCCTTGATGTTTGTCGTAGTGTATGACACGAGATACTTCTCATCCAACCTGAAAGTGTATTTGTGTTAAGTCAAGTATTTAGGTCCCTTGCTCTGTCGCAAACATAAAAGCGACAACAATCATCGCAAAGTTTACTGCAGACTCTTGCTGTGGTTGTCTTCTTGTTGCGCTGAAGTGTTGTAGTAAAGTCTTTGATGGTTTACCTGGAGACTACACCAATGTTCATGTGGCTTCTGTGGAGAATGAAGGTTGTGACTGCTGCCGTAGCTCCAGCAGGAAGTAATCGAACAACCATGATTATATCTTTTGGGTTTGGTAAGATTACTGGAGCTTAAGCTTTTACAGGAGTAGATTATTATTATTATTATTACTTTTATTATTATTATTATTATTATTACTTTTATTATTATTATTATTATTAATATTATCATCATCATTATCAAAACGAAGCACTAACAGGAGTGGATAAAAATACTGTAATTCTTCTTTAAGACCTAAAATCGGGTATGAGAAGAAAATAATCAGTCCAATCCTTTGTAAATACTATAGAGACCCCTGATGGCAGATCTTTCCTACAGTGGGTGTATTACTGTCTGTATCATGGCTAAATGCTGGCGAGTCGTGCGTCTCTCTGGGATTACCATGACACAGAAAACCAAACTACACCCTGCCATGAATGGTCACCCGTAAACACGTTTTTTTTTTCTCTTGCCTGGAAGTTGAACTGTCAGGTTAAGTTGTGACCGGCAGGTGAGCAACACGCTTCTTTGGTAAGGAGATAAGATTGTCAAACGAGAGGTTGTGCTGGCAAGACTTTAATCAATCTAGCATCACTCTCCCCTGTCTGGTTGGGCGATGTATTAGGCCAGGGCTAAGTGAGCATCAGTTAGTGTGCATCACCTTGGCCTTGGTCTTGTGGCTGCCATTAGCATACTGTTGGTTAATCGAGTATACCTCTATGTGAGCTCTGGGAGTGTTTGCTTTGGTCAAAGATTAAGTTTATCCTTTCTGGGCTCGGTGGTGGGTGGGAAAAGAGGGAACTGAAGGTCCGTATCCATAGCTCTGCATGGATACTAGTCTTCCTATACAATCTGTTGGCTCTGGCGCGCCCACTGACTCCTCGGAACTTTGAGCTGTTCTCCAGCAATGTCGTGTTGCCTGACCTCGGTGCCGCCGTTCCTGTCCTCGTTGATACCTCAGTCCTTCGCTCTACTTTGATCTTGATCCCGGGGTCTCCCACAACACAGCGTCGATTTTCAGATAATCGTATATCGTAGAACAGAATGGCTCGACGCCATCGTCCAAACAACTGGTACACACACTAGTCTAAAACATCCTACACACTCTGCAACACCCTACACACTCTGCAACACCCTACATACTCTGCAACACCCTACATCCACTCCTGCTCTACATCTTCCATCTATAGTTAATTACAAATTCCTTATTTAGCTACAGGTGCCACTACACACCGACTGTAAGTCTGGTTGTCTGTTTTACCCTCAGTAATAAAGACAATATTATAACAATACGTGAGGAAACAAACACCATACATGAACTGGTTCTTTGTGTGTGTGTGTATTGACACTTATAGACGAGTGTGTTGTTTATTCATTATGACATACAACTGCCAGACCTACTTAACTCAAGCAGAAGTTTTGTACATAGTCTTCAATAGCTTACATACGTTTTAGTATTGTGAATACAAGTTACACTGTTACGTTACATTGTGTACACCTTAATTCCTCTTGTCTGATTGAGCTATGCGTTACACTGGTTCATATTATTATAATCAAAATTAAGCGCTAAACCACTACGGTCATACAGCTCTGGCCACAGGAACTTTAAACAGCACTTGGGTTCGTGACACAGGTTTAAGGATATTCTTTTCCCATCAGTCTAACTCCTGGCTGAGATATATTGGTGACGTGTTGGTCACCGGACCCAGACGCTTCAACCTCCGCAGCTTCAGAGACCAACTCATCCAGCTGAGGTTAATTCATCTGAGGTCATAATTTAGTTCAATTTGTTAGACGAGAACAACAACACTACCTTTCATTATTTGATGTCCCTCTCATCAAGAGTGGCGGTCGTTTCATAGTCTATAGCAAACCTATTATTAAATGCTTTCTGACGTTCCTGTTACTCCTTTATTTTTCACATCTATCTGTTTCCTCAGCGATTCCCGCCTTTCAAAAAGAGTTTGTATTCATGCTTGTATGTTACGGGTCACCATCTGGCAAATACCTCTGTCAGAACTTCGTTCCTAGCGAATATATAAGTAAGCGTGTGTTCTAGTGTGTATATACATATGTGATAGGTAAATCTAACTCTGTGGACAGAAATAACAATGAAATGGTGAATGCTTACAATGTAAAGCAGGCGAAGACGGGTGTTGAGAGTATTTATAGCTGGAGGTGTTAGGAGTGTGCCGACTCAGGTAACAGTGAATTTATGTTGCAGATTCTACTGGGATCTTTGTATGCTGTTTTTGCTGGTGGCCAACCTCATCATCCTGCCTGTGGCCATCTCATTCTTCAACGACGACCTCTCCACACGCTGGATCGCCTTCAACTGCCTCTCTGACACAATATTTCTCATAGACATTGTTGTCAATTTTAGAACGGGTGAGTTGACCTCTACAAGTCATTTGTTTATTCTAGTGGTGATTCATTCCGTGTGTGGCAATATGGCCACTACCGTCTACGGACAGCAGTGCCACTCCCTTCTACAGGTTGTAGTGCCACTATCATCTACAGGCTTCATTCATTCATTAGAGGTTCGCCGGTACTTCCGGCCCGGGTCTTCTCCATATGGTGACCCGGCTATCTACCGGCTATTTAGCCACCAGTGCTGCTGCTCACACCTTGTACTGTCCCTGAAGAAACGTGTGCTTTTGTTTCTACATCACTCAGTATTGATATCATTTGATGAGATTCTCTTTTAAAACTTTAATAATGAAGCATAGGCACAACAGCCTACAGCGGCACTTGCCTGTAGACGGTAGTGGTACTGGTGCCTGTAATGGCAGTGACACGGCAGTCTAAGTAAGGCAGTAGTACATTACACCTCTGTTACATCTTGCTGGTTCTTTAAGAACTTATTACACTAAGACTGAGGGAGCAAGCAAGGTGTGAGTTGTAATATCACTCATCAGTGACCTAACTTAAACTATCCACATTACACTACTGCTTTTTGTGTGTGACTAGAGCTTTATTATTCTCTAGCCCCTTAATGGTGAGGGACTCTTCCCCATAATATTTTAATTATAATAATAATTGTAATTCATTTTTCTATTATTATTAGATGGAAGTAAGGTGGTCTTGTATTTAATCCTCAGTCTCTTCATATAGCAGGACCTGGTGCTCACTTACGGGTCTATCTACTCTGGGAACCAGTTACTGATATCTGGCTTCTTCCTCAGGTATTATGCAGCAAGATAACTCTGAGCAAGTGATACTCGATCCTAAGTTGATTGCAAAACACTATCTTAAAACATGGTTCTTCCTGGACCTCATCTCCTCAGTGCCACTAGACTACATCTTCCTCATATTCAATCAGGTAAAAAAAACACAGTCCATGATGCTCGTTGACTCTGTATTGGTAGTAGATGTTACTGTGTCGTGCTCCTGAGCGTTACGTGTTCCTGTGTATCTTAATAATGATTCAATTTACTTAGAACAGTTATGCATGGAAGCTCATACTGGTAGATATCAATGTTAGTTGACTCTGTCAGTGTCTTTGTACACTAGTGTCTGTTGAAGCGGCTTCATATTCTTTGTTTACTCTAAATTTCAGCTCTTACGATCAGGTGTTCGTCTGAAAGAAATCAAATGAAATGACAAAATATTCAAGAAATTCTGAGATTTATCTTCACTTCTCAAAATTACTGTCGGAAATGCGAGAGTTTCCCGTAAACACGACGTGGCTGGTTGCTTCTGCTGCCGGAATTACCGAACTCCATTGAAAGAGTGATCTGTTGTTTTGACTTACGTATTCCTATGAACTAACGTAAATTTGTTAAAAATATATTGGTAATACAATGTACCTTATCCACCCTATGTAAACTTAGCTTGGATTGGTATTATGACCTAAAGAAGGAAATATATTCACCATTATTCGCTCTCACCGACGCTGAGTTACATTAACTCTCTGTTTGTGGTTTGTGTCCAAGGATCAGGATGATCCTCCTTTCTAGGAGGGATGCCACTCTTCCTAGAGGATGCTCGACTTCCTAAGAACCCAGCATTTATTTCGGCATAAATGGTGGGGATATTTCCCCTTTGTTCTAAATTTGTTCACATTCCAATCTGATGACATCAGCGTTAATGGACATGGATTGTGGAATGTAAAAAATATGTTATATAATGTTAAATTTGTTATATAAAGCGCTAAACACTCAAAGGTTCTATTAGTTTGTAAAAACAACAGAACTACCACGAGAACCCAACGATAAAACCAAACCATCACAACTTTACTTTATAAGTGTCAGTATCTTCCCACTTCAAAAAAAAAAAATAGGGTCACTTATGAATCTCACACTAATAACATGTTAGATTTAAAAATGATTTACTTTAACTCCGTCCACAACACGTCCTGACACCGTAAATAATGAACGTGCATTTTTCAACGATCTTATATTGTGAAGTGAACACAACACTGCCACTGGTTAATAATCACAACATTCTTCACACTTTGCTTCCAAACTTTCCTCACATGTTACTTTTTATTCAGTCTACTTGGATAGATGCAGGATAATTTATCATCACTAATAAAGTTGTACACAGAGTAAAACATTGTTCCAAGAAAGGTTTGTACTGAACTTGTCTTAAACATCATCAACACTACGCCATTGCATCTACTCCAGATTTATGCATTTTTTTTTTTTGGTTGATCTTTCTCCACACTTTCTAACCTCCTTTTTTTCCATTCTTGCAACTGTACTTTTTTGTATCACAACTCTTCCATTACCTTCCCTCCTTATTCTTCACATAGTATATACACTCCACCTTCATCTCACTCGGTATATATTCTCTGCAAGAATCTTATCTTCGCTGTAAACAACAAAGGCCACAACTCACTCTCTTGCCACCCGTTGCAAACACTTTACTCTGTCATTTTTTTTTTAAATACTGAAAAAAATTTGTCTCGACAAACCAATTAATATTAATTGTACTTTTCCCTCATCTGTAAGTCGTCTCGTATTTGAGCTCGTTCTTATATACTTGGAATGAGAATATCATGTGTAGCGATATAACACCAGTTTATCTGAGACAGGCTGGGCCTGGGATGCAGCGGCCATTTTCCTTCTGGATACAAAAACATTAGGGAGGGCAAGGAAACAGTATAAGAAGTGTGATACAAAAAAAAATATCAGAGAAAAACTTAACAAAAAGTCTATAAAAAGGCACATTTTTACAAGCAAATTTATGGTACATGTGTGGAACGCACTGACACAGACCTTGTGTTAATGTCCACTATAAAACTTACTCAAGCATTGAGACATGGAACTCCTCGACATGAAGTTGTTGTTGCAGCCGCCTTGCAAGTGTAAGTGGTGAGGGAGAGTCAGGATCTCGCTACACCACAAGAGCAACACCTGCAACCTGGCTGAGTAAGGGTGGTGCACCTGTCTGGTGTTCCCATCCAGACAGTGTTAGCAGCAAGTGAAGGAATCCCACCGCCTTCCAGCCTCTGCTGCGGATGTTACTCTAAATATTTACTGATGCATCTCAACCTTTTATGTTTAGTGTTTAAGGTTACTATTCAAACAAAATTTATATATTCTAATTATAAAGCAATAAATTTAAACAAAATTCTTCTTCAGACTCTCCTGTTTGTGATGTACTTGAGGTGTCGTATATATGGTTTGTGTCGTGGTAGGAGCGTAGCAATGCTTAGCTCCCATCCCTCTGTTCAGCACTACTCTAATGTATGTTTTTCTCCCGTTTTTTTTCTCTGCAGTACCGAGACAAAGAGGTATAACCCGCTGCCAGCCTTTATATTCTACTGGTAGAGGGAAGACTCATGAGTTATTCCTATACTTTCTGTATTGTCTCGTCACCAGCATGCTGCTTAAACTACCCAATAAACTATCTCTGCACCTGTTTTTCTTAGCTGCTCGTTGTTTGACGTCAAGCATGACGAAACTGACGTATCTGTAGCCACCTGCACATTAACACTGCTTTATAAATTAAAAAAATATCATACTCTTTACTATAAGCAATCTGGAGAGCTGAGTGGACTACCAAAGGTAAAATGACTATATAAACCACTCTAACCCATTATTATAAATCAATGATTCTAACATGATTACATGATTTTAACTGTGTAGGTATAAGTATTATCTGTGACTCGGGGCGCTAGTGCAGGTTATAATCGTCTCTCAGATTATTTGTAAAACATTCCACAAAGTATTCCATAGTTTTCCTACTCTAAGAAGGCATATTTATTGTTGTAAGATTCCTTAAGACATAATAAGTACTTCAATAGATTATATTGCTTATCACTAACTCTTAGAGACATCAGTAGACAGTCTCATTAACTTGAAATGCAGTAAAATATGTGTCATTAACTTAGTATTCACTCGCACACTCTGTTTATAACTAATTCTTAACAGTCGGTGAGCTTCTAGCTACACATACCACAAACAACTTAAATATGAAACAGTAAATTTTGCACAGTCTGTAAGAATTAACCTGTGAGTAATTACTTTCACGATGTTGATAGGCAGTAAGGTGTACACAGTGAGCATGAGCTGATGTACTGTACATCTGAGGGGCAACCTGTGTGTTGGTTACGCACTACTTGAGTAACGTACAAGTGGGACACTTGGGGATATATATATGTCGTGCCTAACAGGTAAAACTTACGATTTTGGCTTAAATAGCAACACATTTCTTGCCGAATAAGTGAAGATTTGTGTATGCAATAATTTCGTAAAACTAATTTTGAACCTAACGAATTTGTTTAACCCACAGTCGAATACAGGAGAATGTGACACTGGAGATAGTAAACAGTAGCCTTGACAAACTGACCACCTACAGCAGGCTTGACGAACTGACCACCTACAAAACGCTTGACAGGCTGACCACCTACTGCTGAAACTGACACACTGATCACCACCACCACCACCACAACAACTAGTACCATAACTACCGTCACCACCGTCCCTAGTGTTACATTCACCTGTGTGAGGCTGAAGAAGTCTGCTGTGTATGCAGAAGTCTCGGCAATAATGATCCCCAAGTTGTCGGTACTGTGTATCATCATTACTATAATAAACAAGCTTGGTAGCTGAGGTCACCACACCACAGGTACTGCATCAACCTTGTACAAGGTTGGTAGCTGAGGTCATCGCACCACAGGTACTGCATCAACCTTGTACAAGGTTGGTAGCTGAGGCCACCGCACCACAGGTACTGCATCAACCTTGTACAAGGTTGGTAGCTGAGGTCACCGCACCACAGGCACTGCATCAACCTTGTACAAGGTTGGTAGCTGAGGTCACCGCACCACAGGTACTGCGTCAACCTTGTACAAGGTTGGTAGCTGAGGTCACCGCACCACAGGTACTGCATCAACCTTGTACAAGGTTGGTAGTTGAGGTCACCGCACTACAGGTACTGCATCAACCTTGTACAAGGTTGGTAGCTGAGGCCACCGCACCACAGGCACTGCATCAACCTTGTACAAGGTTGGTAGCTGAGGTCACCGCACCACAGGTACTGCATCAACCTTGTACAAGGTTGGTAGTTGAGGTCACCGCACCACAGGTACTGCATCAACCTTGTACAAGGTTGGTAGCTGAGGCCACCGCACCACAGGCACTGCATCAACCTTGTACAAGGTTGGTAGCTGAGATCACCGCACCACAGGCACTGCATCAACCTTGTACAAGTTTGGTAGCTGAGGTCACCGCACTACAGGCACTACATCAACCTTGTACAAGGTTGGTAGCTGAGGTCACCGCACCACAGGCACTGCATCAACATTGTACAAGGTTGGTAGCTGAGGTCACCGCACCACAGGCACTGCATCAACCTTGTACAAGGTTGGTAGCTGAGGTCACCGCACCACAGGCACTGCATCAACCTTGTACAAGGTTAGTAGCTGAGGTCATAGCACCACAGACACTGGATCAACCTTGTACAAGGTTGGTAGCTGAGGTCACCGCACCACAGGCACTGCATCAACCTTGTACAAGGTTGGTAGCTGAGGTCACCGCACCACAGGCACTGCATCAACCTTGTACAAGGTTGGTAGCTGAGGCCACCGCACCACAGGCACTGCATCAACCTTGTACAAGGTTGGTAGCTGAGGCCACCGCACCACAGGCACTGCATCAACCTTGTACAAGGTTGGTAGCTGAGGCCACCGCACCACAGGCACTGCATCAACCTTGTACAACGTTGGTAGCTGAGGTCACCGCACCACAGGCACTGCATCAACCTTGTACAAGGATGGTAGCTGAGGCCACCGCACCACAGGCACTGCATCAACCTTGTACAAGGTTGGTAGCTGAGGCCTCCGCACCACAGGCACTGCATCAACTTTGTACAAGGTTGGTAGCTGAGGTCACCGCACCACAGGCACTGCATCAACCTTGCACAAGGTTGGTAGCTGAGGCCACCGCACCACAGGCACTGCATCAACCTTGTACAAGGTTGGTAGCTGAGGCCACCGCACCACAGGCACTGCATCAACCTTGTACAAGGTTGGTAGCTGAGGCCACCGCACCACAGGTACTGCATCAACCTTGTACAAGGTTGGTAGCTTAGGCCACCGCACCACAGGCACTGCATCAACCTTGTACAAGGTTGGTAGCTGAGGCCACCGCACCACAGGCACTGCATCAACCTTGTACAAGGTTGGTAGCTGAGGCCACCGCACCACAGGCACTGCATCAACCTTGTACAAGGTTGGTAGCTGAGACCACTGCACCACAGGTACTGCATCAACCTTGTACAAGGTTGGTAGCTGAGGCCACCGCACCACAGGTACTGCATCAACCTTGTACAAGGTTGGTAGTTGAGGTCACCGCACCACAGGTATTGCATCAACCTTGTACAAGGTTGGTAGCTGAGGTCATTGCACCACAGGTACTGCATCAACCTTGTACAAGGTTGGTAGCTGAGGTCACCACACCACAGGCACTGCATCAACCTTGTACAAGGTTGGTAGCTGAGGCCACCGCACCACAGGTACTGCATCAAACTTGTACAAGGTTGGTAGCTGAGGTCACCGCACCACAGGTACTGCATCAACCTTGTACAAGGTTGGTAGCTGAGGTCACCGCACCACAGGCACTGCATCAACCTTGTACAAGGTTGGTAGCTGAGGTCACCGCACCACAGGTACTGCATCAACTTTGTACAAGGTTGGTAGCTGAGGCCACCGCACCACAGGCACTGCATCAACCTTGTACAAGGTTGGTAGCTGAGGTCACCGCACCACAGGCACTGCATCAACCTTGTACAAGGTTGGTAGCTGAGGCCACCGCACCACAAGCACTGCATCAACCTTGTACAAGGTTGGTAGCTGAGGCCACCGCACCACAGGTACTGCATCAACCTTGTACAAGGTTGGTAGCTGAGGTCACCACACCACAGGTACTGCATCAACCTTGTACAAGGTTGATAGCTGAGGCCACCGCACCACAGGTACTGCATCAACCTTGTACAAGGTTGGTAGCCGAGGCCACCGCATCACAGGTACTGCATCAACCTTGTACAAGGTTGGTAGCTGAATCCACCGCACCACAGGTACTGCATCAACCTTGTACAAGGTTGGTAGCTGAGGCCACCGCACCACAAGTACTGCATCAACCTTGTACAAGGTTGGTAGCTGAGGTCACTGCACCACAGGCACTACATCAATCTTGTACAAGGTTGGTAGCTGAGGTCACCGCACCACAGGTACTGCATCAACCTTGTACAAGGTTGGTAGCTGAGGTCACCGCACCACAGGCACTGCATCAACCTTGTACAAGGTTGGTAGCTGAGGCCACCGCACCACAGGTACTGCATCAAACTTGTACAAGGTTGGTAGCTGAGGTCACCGCACCACAGTTACTGCATCAACCTTGTACAAGGTTGGTAGCTGAGGCCACCGCATCACAGGTACTGCATCAACCTTGTACAAGGTTGGTAGCTGAGGCCACTGCACCACAGGTACTGCATCAACCTTGTACAAGGTTGGTAGCTGAGGCCACCGCACCACAGGTACTGCATCAACCTTGTACAAGGTTGGTAGCTGAGGTCACTGCACCACAGGCACTACATCAATCTTGTACAAGGTTGGTAGCTGAGGTCACCGCACCACAGGTACTGCATCAACCTTGTACAAGGTTGGTAGCTGAGGTCACCGCACCACAGGCACTGCATCAACCTTGTACAAGGTTGGTAGCTGAGGCCACCGCACCACAGGTACTGCATCAACCTTGTACAAGGTTGGTAGCTGAGGTCACCGTACCACAGGCACTGCATCCACCTTGTACAAGGTTGGTAGCTGAGGCCACCGCACCACAGGCACTGCATCAACCTTGTACAAGGTTGGTAGCTGAGGCCACCGCACCACAAGCACTGCATCAACCTTGTACAAGGTTGGTAGCTGAGGCCACCGCACCACAGGCACTGCATCAACCTTGTACAAGGTTGGTAGCTGAGGTCACCGCACCACAGGCACTGCATCAACCTTGTACAAGGTTGGTAGCTGAGGCCACCGCACCACAGGCACTGCATCAACCTTGTACAAGGTTGGTAGCTGAGGTCACCGCACCACAGGCACTGCATCAACCTTGTACAAGTCAGTGTACACAACACGCAGTACACCTCTTTTGTGGCAGCTGGTGCAAACCCTCCATCAAGGTGGTCACCCATGCAGTAAATACGGGTATTATCGCAACACTTGCTTATTGCTGCTGCATTATTGAGTTCCTTGTTGTGTTTTGGAATTTGAGTTTATTGTTTTTTAATTTTGTCTAGTTCGAGTCTAGGGAGCGAGTTTACATTGTAAGTCTTTAAATAATGGTCATTATTTTCATTATGGACAATCACTTGTACAGTGGCTACAACTACAAGAAATACTACCACTGTTGACTCCACTACAATCACCACTACAACCAGCAGCCGCTATTACCACCACTTTCACTACAACACTTTCATCATAAACACTGGTCACACCTCTGGTCACACCTCTGGTCACACCTCTGTCACCACTACACTTGTTATTGTAGTAGTGTTGATAATACTAACAATAAGCATAATTAGGCAGATTATTTATATATTTTTATTTTTCATGATCACAATCGACAATGTTTTATCTTGATAAATTTGCAAATCGTGTGTGTGTGCGTGTGTGTGTGTGTGCGTGCGTGCGTGTGTGTGTGTGTGTGTGTGTGTGTGTGTGTGTGTGTGTGTGTGTGTGTGTGTGTGTGTGGTACATATATAATGTGCATATCATTTTTGTTTATTCGTATAAAGGTAAGTTGTAGAAGCAGTATATATACATCCTAAGTTAAATTTGGGCTCGTCATGTCATAAAGACACTAACAGTGTTTGCGGGATTTCCCTCCATTACTTCCCCTCCCTTACTTGACTCTGGCCACATTAACTGCCAGAGAAGTTAATACATTAATCACCAGAGACGCACCACACAATATGTCACTGATCACTCTGTCTTGAGCATTGAAATCACTGTCCCTCACCTTTACCACAATGACCTGGTCAGACTACCATGACTGTAGTCGCTCCATCCCTCCCAGCTGTAACACATTTAGGTCTGGGAGCCTCACCCTCCCGCCTGCATCGGGACTAACAGCGGTAAGTGTGTTAAACAGCAACAACAGCAGCAGGTAAGAGCAACAGCAACACTAGCATGTGCTCGTCTCTTCCTTCACTGCAGTTGTCCAGCAGTAACATTAGCTGACAGGTGGGACGGTAAGCACTAGCAGCCCGGGTACCCATCGCCGAAGAAAAGCTAATGTTTGTCGAAGGATGAGAACTTCACTGGTGCTCCAGAAACCCGAGAGACAAAGCTATTAATGTAATGCCTGCATTATACTGGATATGCTTGTATGGTGAGTCTTGTACACCAGTGATGGTGAGGATGTAGCCTTTTATGTTGAATTTAACCCATTTATGTTAAGTCTCTTACCTCAAAATTATTCGTGCTCTGTGAACATGCATAACATTAATGTTTTACGTGTAGCTGAAGGTAACCAATACTTTGACTAAACTGACAGTTAAAATTACCTGTGGATATTTGACCAGGTAACTAGTGTTATAGTTTGTTACATTCAGTTGAAGTTTATGATGAAATATTTGATGCTATAAATGTTATTTTAATAAGACACACGTGCAACAGTATCTTTATTGTGAAACGTTTCGCCTACACAGCAGTCTTCTTCAGTCGAGTACACAGGAGTTATCGGAAACAGTAGAGGTGTAAAGACGGTGTAATCAGTCCATTACCCTTGAAGACGAAGTTTTGAGGTGGTCAGTCCCTCATTCTTCAGGCTGAGGGACTGACTACCTCAAAACTACGTCTTCGAGGGTGATGCACTGATTACATCATCTTTACATCACCGCTGCTTCTACTGCCTCTATATTTGACTGAAGAAGCCTGCTGTGTAGACGAAAAGTTTCAGAATAAAGATACTTAACTGTTGGACATGTTTTAATTATCAATCTGTGAGTATACCATTACCTTCACACTTTAATTATATTCCCTCTTTACTAACAAAACAATACAAGTATTATCAGTCTACGTATGAAATATTTTAAAAACAAGAAATATAACCAACATCACCATACATTGTACAGTTGTAACAACTTATTTTTAATTGGACATAAAGTGTCATGAAGTCTTGTTTTTATATTATATAAAGCCCTCAATCCGTGTGATTCCATCAGCGAAATATTTTTTAGAGGATTGATACTCCGTCTGCTGCTATTCCCTGTAGATGTTGTGGTCCAGACAGACTTGGATGAGCCAATCTCTTAACCATAAGCAGACAGTCTTCAAACTTGTTAGCAAAGTATTATACCGGTGTAAACAGCGTGCATGACAAGCCTTTATTCACTACATATTGCATGTTCTTGTCCTCAGTGAACTTATTCTCCAAATAACAAGTAAAACTGACCTTCACATTAAAGATCCTACGAAGATACACTTTCCACCGTACAGTCCAGATTCTTCCTTATTAAAAAGACACAAAATATTTGATTTCAAAATAAAGATCGATCATAAATGATCAGGGCATTTTATTATATGTATCAAAACTGAATTCTTTTAAGTTCTGTTTGCGTTTATCTCTAATTATAAGCAAGACCTTTTAATCTAAGGATAATAATTCAATATCAGATCTGGTTATTTTGGCAAGCCAGCTTCCTGTTAGGGAAGGTATCACAAGAAACTGTTTGAGTGTTAAGATGCAACACCACTTGGCTGTTAGTGCCGTTCTTGAAGTCCCTGAGTACTGTATCTATCTCAACGTTCACCTCCACAGCACTTTCTTAGACCAAGCCAGATTACAGAATGAAGCACCAACTTTCTTACAAGCTATGAATACTTGCAAACAGAACTACTGTGTGAGGTCAGGCTGATCAAAACAGGTTGATGTTTGTCTTGTGTGATACGTGTAATATTTATCAGTACTGAGAGTACAAGAGGGTGGTGGCAACTTGACCTACACCTCCATCTAGAGGTGGACACTGGAAGCGCAGCCTTTAAATACAACGTTTCGCTCAAGGCTGAACCTTATCAAGCATACAGGAATGAGTAAATATACCGCCTTGTAAGATAAACTAGCACCATTAGGTCAGACTTGTAAAAAGGTAGGTCACACAAGATTATTAAACTACAAGATCAGTTCTGGCGAGGTCATGTATGGGTGGCAGTACGTGGGGGGGGGGGTAAGGTGACTGGTTTATTATATAAATCAGGGACAATAACCTTAGTACAACATGTTCATTCCATTGTTTTGCTCAACTGTTTTAGCGAGATGGGTCATTGCTGATACAGAAATTCTGCTTCTTGCCTCTGTCTTTCTGGAGGTCACCTTACCCCGTCCACCAACCCACCCCCACCCACCACACTCGTTAAACCTGACCTCACCCCCGCCTCATCTCGCTACTTAACGACTTTTTGTGTGTGACTTTGTAAGTGGTCCAGGATGGAGCAAAACGTCGTCGTAAGCTCCTCTCTCCTATCAGCGGGTTTTTTGTGTATGGACCTTGTGTGACCTGTATTTCTCTGAACCTGACCTCATGATGCTCGTTTGCCTTATAAAGTGATGCTTCTCTCTCTCTCTCTCTCTCTCTCTCTCTCTCTCTCTCTCTCTCTCACACACACACACACACACACACACACACACACACACACACACACACTCAGGCCAAACCAACAAATCTTACAGCTTCACTAATTCCAGAGAAGCAACATTCTCATCAACATTAACTTCTCATAAGTCTCAAATTTAGAGCGGCCATGTACAAGACAATAACCCACTTCAACATCAACCATGTTAGTTCTTCAAAACCCCTGACCAAATGCACACACACAACAAAACTGAGTAAAATAAAAAAAATGTAACTTTTAATAATTCCTGGCATGTTCGTCTCCTCTCCGGCAGGATTTCAGTGAAAGTTTCCAGATCCTTCACGCGGGTCGGGCGCTGCGCATCCTGCGACTGGCCAAGCTCCTCTCCCTGGTTCGCCTCCTGCGCCTCTCCCGCCTCGTACGATATGTGTCGCAGTGGGAGGAGGTCTATGTAAGCAGCGTCAGTGTTACCCCTCTTTATTCTTTCTCTCGCCTTACTCACTCTCACACACACGTACACTCAGCTTCACAGATATGCTAATATGTATGCTAGAACATAGCCTTATACCTAGATAACCCACGCCTGTATACAAGAGCAACTACATATAGAATACCAGCCCTCTAGCCATTACTAAGAGCATGCGCGCTAAGGCCAACCCATCGTAAGCCTAGTTGCGCAAGGGAACACATCGTGTTTAGTTGCAGATCTATGCATACTACAGTTGTGCTCATGCTGCAAGTGACCCATCCAACCACCCACCTACCCATAATGCAACGACACCCACCCAGCCACCCACACCACCCACCCACCCCGAATGTTACCCTCAGTACAGATGTCGTCTACTCATTAAAGTGGCGAGGTACTGTTACCAAGGCACTAAGGACACTCCTTCCCTCACTCATAGAGGACTAATAGGTTCTTATAACTTAGACTAAAACAGTGCCATGTGACCAGCTGTGAATGTGTTCCAATTTTATGTCAGTGTAAGTCCCTGTGATTTTTACATATTATAAACTGCGAAAGTTATGTCTAGTCACAAAATTATCTCTAAATCGGATTTATTTAATTGGACTCAGCTCTTAAATAAAGTTGTAGACTTTGTTGTATATTGTATTTTAAACTTTAGACTAGGGAATGTTTTATCATGTCGTACACAGTCTATGGCTACTGTAATGATACTCGATCAAGCGTCTAACATTATCAACTTGACACTAGTTATCTGGAAAACAAAAATCTCTAGCGTTAACTTTTTAATTGTTATCCTTTAATTTGAATCGGAATGTTTCGGATATGCTTACTGCTTGAGACTTACAAGTGGATATTACAGACTTTAAACTTTGATTACGACGGATTCACGTAACGTTACTGGAAAATTATCGTTTTTATGCAATTCTCCCGAAACTTTTGCTCACTTGTAGCAGTAGTTTATAGTGATACCAAACACCCTCACGCATACTTTACATTACTTAAAAATAGCATGGCTCAATGTCAGCTTAAGAGGCGTCGCTGTGATCCTATGTTAAGTTTAACAGCGTCGTTAAGATAATTAACACAGTCCCTACTTCCTGGAAGTGCAGACTGCAGTTTTACCTTCTCTATGAGGCCTCACTGGTTTAGCATCACCATTATTTCTACGTTTATTGCACAAATCGTAATAGTAGTGTTTTGTGTTCTTGTTTTCGTTGGGAAGGTTAACGGGGCAGTGTTTGTACAATGATTCCAACAGCATCCTTAATTTAGCACAAGAACCTCACAAACTGCCTGTTGTTCCGGGAACTTTTGTAATAACCTCAGCGAGGTCAGAGGCCTTCAGAGGCCGGACTGACTTCTGCAGAAGCCTCAGCGAAGTCAGGAATCTTAGTTACTCCAGGGCAACCCACCATAAGCCTCATATCCATCAGTCACTAAGAGGGAACCAACATTTCTCGGTAACTCGCAACACGCGAGTCTCAGCACATCCACCATAAACATTAACTCTCTGAATCCTCTTTGCAAGATTCCCATTGCCTTTATTCTTCCAGTAAGATATCAAGCTTTATCTTAGTAAGATTTACTTTAAACTCGAGAGAATGGCAATGATTCCAGAACGATAGGTGTGAAAATAAGGGGAGAACGAATTGACTGTTCACCTCTAGTCGCTATGTTACCTAAGCCAGCTGAGGCTGACCTAAGCAGGTCAGTGCTAACAGCAGATAACCCATAATATGTATGCGGTTTTCTGGTAAATGTTATGACCCTTAGTAGCACGCAGCGAGCCTTGTCACATTGTCTATCATCTTCCTACGTACACTAACCTAACATTTTCTTGACTAAAGTATGACACTGTCCACCTGTTCAGTACTGATTTACCGATACCCACTAACTATTGATAGACTGATACCCACTAACTACTGATAGACTGATACCCACTAACTACTGATAGACTGATACCCGCTAACTACTTATAGACTGATACCCACTAACTACTGATAGACTGATACCCACTAACTACTGATAGACTGATACCCACTAACTATTGATAGACTGATACCCACTAACTACTGATAGACTGATACCCACTAACTACTGATAGACTGATACCCACTAACTATTGATAGACTGATACCCACTAACTACTGATAGACTGATACCCACTAACTATTGATAGACTGATACCCACTAACTATTGATAGACTGATACCCACTAACTACTGATAGACTGATACCCACTAACTACTGATAGACTGATACCCACTAACTACTGATAGACTGATACCCACTAACTACTGATAGACTGATACCCACTATCTACTGATAGACTGATACCCACTAACTACTGATAGACTGATACCCACTAACTATTGATAGACTGATACCCACTAACTATTGATAGACTGATACCCACTAACTATTGATAGACTGATACCCACTAACTACTGATAGACTGATACCCACTAACTACTGATAGACTGATACCCACTAACTACTGATAGACTGATACCCACTAACTACTGATAGACTGATACCCACTAACTATTGATAGACTGATACCCACTAACTACTGATAGACTGATACCACTAACTACTGATAGACTGATACCCACTAACTACTGATAGACTGATACCCGCTAACTACTGATAGACTGATACCCACTAACTACTGATAGATTGATACCCACTTACTACTGATAGCCTGATACCCACTTACTACTGATAGACTGATACCCACTAACTACTGATAGACTGATACCCACTAACTACTGATAAATTGATACCCACTTACTACTGATAGCCTGATACCCACTTACTACTGATAGACTGATACCCACTAACTACTGATAGACTGATACCCACTAACTACTGATAGATTGATACCCACTTACTACTGATAGCCTGATACCCACTTACTACTGATAGACTGATACTCATTTACTACTGATAAGCTACTGTGTAGTTAACACTGATAGAAAATATTCTATATGATGTAAATGATAATTATTAACATAATCTATATCAAGCAGCTCAGTGGTAACATAAACAATGATAGATCTTGGTTATTTTAAGGAAGAACAAGAGAGCCATGAGATACTTTTATCTCTCCCTAAACAAGTCCTTTGTGCCTTGACATCCTGGCCCGGGGTCCCGTAGTGTGTTGACGCCTCAACCCCAAGTACTCAAGTATTGTAAATTCCATCTTAGATACCGCAAGATCAATCCTCTTGGACCCACCCTGCTGCTACAGCACTCAACGCTGTCTTGAGTGTAATCCCTCTGGTCAAGCATTTTAATCCCCTGGTCAAGCATTTTAATTCCCTTGGTAAAGCATTTTAATCCCTTGGTCAGGTATTTTTAACCCCTTTGGTAAAGTATTGTAATTTCCCTCTAGTCAAACATTGTAATCCCCCCTGGTCCAGCATTGTAATCCCCCCTGGTCCAGCATTGTAATCCCCCTGGTCAAGCGTTTAGACTTGTCTCCCTCAGCTCTACACGTTAAAGTACCTTTGATGTACACTGGATAACTTGATTTGTACACACACACACACACACACACACACACACACACACACACACACACACACACACACACACACACACACACACACACACACACACACACACACTATAGAGATTACTACCTCAATCAGCTTTCTCCCATTATTCTTCTTGTTTCCGTCTTCATTACTATTGTTGTTTTTTTATCTGTACCTCTCTCTCTCTCATCCCTCCCTCCCCACATTCTTTCTTTCATCCCCCCCCCACACACACACTGTACTTCTACAGTCTTTCCTCCGTATACAGTATGTAGGTTCCCTCAGCCTTGCCCTATATAGACATCCCCCTCTCTGCTATTTGTTTCCTCTCTTCCAGTTCCTTAATTTGTTTGTAGATCTTCTGATATATTTGGTCATATTGGACTCCCTGTGGGACAGCGACTGGACCCGCCCGGGACACTGCTGTCTCCAGGGATCCACTGTGAGCTGTATAATGTACCCGTATTTGTAGACAATTTGTAACCTATGTGATTCTTGTTCCACATGAGCTTCTCCTTTAAAGGTATGGATCCCATTCTATGAATTGAAGAGTGCTGGCTGTAATGTCTCTTGCTTACTCCTGCGATATTTTTCGCTCTTTTTTTACCTTCTCTTTATTGCGTCTCACATTATGCGTGTGAGTGAGACTGCGGCACTTCACACTGCTAGCTTCTTGCTTACATCCGTTATTACTCTCTAACGCTTATGTGAAACAGGACTCATATTGCTCCTTCTCTTAACTGCCACCGGTTTGCCTTACAATTTGTCTTATATTTTCTCAAAATTATCCTCATGAAATTCCGTGAAGATGACGAGTGTAGCCGTGGGATATTGGCGAAGTGTTCGCTGCATAGAGCCGCAGTCACTAGCGCGGGTTGTTCTCGCGCGACCTGAGGTACAGTCACTAGCGCGTGATGTTCTCGCGCGACCTGAGGCGCAGTCACTAGCGTGTGATGTTCTCGCGCGACCTGAGGCGCAGTCACTAGCGCGTGATGTTCTCGCGCGACCTGAGGCGCAGTCACTAGCGCGTGATGTTCTCGCGCGACCTGAGGCGCAGTCACTAGCGTGTGATGTTCTCGCGCGACCTGAGGCGCAGTCACTAGCGCGTGATGTTCTCGCGCGACCTGAGGCGGAAGTACACCTAACAAATACCGTACTTAGGAGAGGAACTCTACAGCAATGTACCAGTCCTTCGTGGACCTTTGTCATGTTATGACTTAATGCTCCAGAAGGGACCAAAACGTCGTCAGTAAGTTTCCTACCTAAATGCGGATTTTTCGCGAGCTGTTCTAGCCTCGGTATTGTGACTTTTATACTCTGAGGCTCACTTTATCTGACGGTAGTTAAAATTTCTACTATTATGGCAGCTGTACTCGGTATGTGAGCCCTGAGGAGCCGTCGCCAACAGAGGCCAAGTGTCGTCAACTTTGAAATTAATATCGTGGATATACCTAGTCACAAAATTAGTAAATACTTTTTGTCGTGGGAAAAAAAGATGAACTTTACATATAAGTTGTGTAATCTTCCAAAGTTATCAGGTGACCGTGTCTCTGTGCTTAGTCTGGTGCGAGGTGAGAGAGGAAGAGTGTGAGGGGTGTAAGACAGGTGTAGGGTACACACACTCCATCACTACACACCTATCCAAATCATGTCTGATAGCGCCCATTACACTCGTGCCTCATCACTACAAGATCGCTGCAATAACTTAAGCACTAAGATAAACCTCGGGTAATCAGATGTCTGGGTCACAAGGGAGTGTCTGTCGCGCCTTTTGGCTCTCCAGCCTGTGCCACTCTGGCTCTATGCAACATGGGACACCCTGGCTCTTTGCAATGTGTGTGACACCCTGGCTCTTTGCAATGTGTGTGACACCCTGGCTCTTAGCAATTTGTGACACCCTGGCTCTTAGCAATGTACGACACCCTGGCTCTTTGCAATGTGCGACACCCTGGCTCTTTGCAATGTGCGACACCCTGGCTCTTTGCAATGTGCGACACCCTGGCTCTTTGCAATGTGTGACACCCTGGCTCTATGCAACGTGTGACAGTCTACAATCCGGCCAATCATTTTTTCATCTTTTTTTTTGTGTTAGGCAATAAGATTAATGACGAGGAGGAGGAGGAGGAAGATAAGGAGGAGAAGGAGGCGGAAGGGAAGGAGGAAGAGGCGGATGAAGGGAAGGATTGTGGTAGAGTGGAGCAGCAAGAAAAGTTTTGGGTAGACAGATGAAGAGGTAAGAAAGGTGACATGACCTGACCAGTTTGGGTGGGTTTTAAGAGTGCCTTTTATCACTTAATAACGTCTGTATACTGTAATTTAAGACTGTAGGGAAAAAACAATGTTAGCACTAAACTTGAACATTGGTCTGAGGTGTATTGGCTAACTCTGTCTTCTCCGTAGCTCACCATTTTCTTTTATTGTTAAATTTGGTTAATTCACGTCATCCTAACCAAGCCTAAGCTTAACTAGCGTATGCAGAGACGCCAGCTTAAGTTCATATAACAAAAAAAAATAAAAAGGGAACGTTGTGACTCAGGAGAAGAGGTTGAAGTTCGGCCCTATGCAGCGTACCTAGACAACATCCCTCTGCCTTGTGGCTCCTTTCTGTCTGGTTCAGGGCTTTTTGCATCTGGGCCGAGTCCATCTTGTATTATAATGTATATTGAGCAGTTGTGTTAATATGGGAAGAGTGTGAGGCAGGCCCGTGCTTGTGTAACATAATCTAGCCTTGGGTTCACCAGTCAACCAGATCCCCAAGCGGTTCTCTGACTCAGCCTCTCCTTCCCTTCAACCTGGCCTTTACTTCTTTGCCTTTTACTCTTTTCTTCGGTTCTAGATCCTTAAGAACCACCGCAAAAAGCACAGTGAGAGACGGAGTCCAGCTGCTGGCTCAGATGCACTGAACAGACGTAAAAGGAAGCCGTACAATGTTTACAATATTCCATTTTTTAAGGTAAATTAATCCCTCTTACCTTAGGATGTACAGTACCGACCTTAACCCTCCCCTCCCCTTGCCTGTCCGTCGTCCCGTCAATCGTCTGCCTGTCTGTCCTAGTTGTGTGTTACAGTACATGTGCTGGAAGAGCCTCCGCCTCTGCATGTCTTGCATCCCGCTTAGCCCAAACTGAGGCCTCCAAGCTTATTTTGAACTCTTTACTTTTTTCTCAAAACAAGATTTTTCTAAAATATTTCCTTACTATTTTTTACTATCAAGATACCACATTAAATTTTTGCAATCATGAACAGGTTTGACTGCTTACTTTTTTCTTTTTTTTTTTTCTTTTTTTTGCTTGTTCTTGATAAGGTTAAAAGAGCAGGAGTCAGGTCGAGTAGCGTGACGCGCTGCATGGCTCCTCCTCCACCGTCTCGTTTACAACATCAGTAAGATGTTTAATGAAGTTCCAAGATGCCGATAAGCTCCAGGGACACTCATGCTCACTTCAGGGACCTGTGTTGTCAATCTCAGGGACCACTACTAATGCTCTGCTGTTCAAGGATTATTCATACTCCTGGAAAAGGGCCTCTGTCGTCACGATCAGGGGCCATTAATGATCACTCCGGAACCCACTGTTGTCAAGTTTAAGGATCACTTGTGTTCTAGGGTTATTTGCCAAGTTTAGAGATTACTGAGGCTCACTCCGGCCACTGTTTCAAGGCTAAGGGGTCATACATGCGCGCTCCAGGGACCCAGGTCTTTTAGCTAAGAGATAACCATGTGAGGCCCTTATTGTCTACTAATCAAGTTCCTCAGTAGGCTGAGATTCGTCCCTCACCCCTCCCCCCGGCACAAACACACACACATACACAAACAGGAGCTAAATCTACAAAATAAACATTTTTATGGGTTAATAACATATGTGCGTTCTCAATTCCCAAAGCCAGAATAACTTCTGGATTTTCACGGCTCCTCTACACACGCGAGTATTTGTCTGTGCGTTAGAAGCGACGAAAGACACATGACTGTCGTTATGCGGGAAACAACTTCATGAAAGAAAAGTAAGACTGTTTTGAGATTCTCTAATGATGCTTGCTTCTGAATGAACATTTTCCATTGATACTGTGAGCATGGCAGGTTGTCCACCGTGCCCCTAAGTGAGCATGGCAGGCTCTCCACTGGTCGTGCCCCTGAGTAAGCATGACAGGCTCTCCACTGGTCGTGCCCCTGAGTGAGCATGGCAGGTTGTCCACCGGTCGTGCCCCTGAGTGAGCATGGAAGGCTCGCCACCGGTCGTGCCCCTGAGTGAGCATGGAAGGCTCTCCACCGGCCGTGCCCTTGAGTGAGCATGTCAGGTCCCATACCCTGCAGTAACATTCACTTTACACGTCTGAGCCGTCATTAGTATCCATACCCCAATGTTTTCATCTTTTTTGTTCATGTGTCAGTTCAGAACGTGTGTCAATTTTTAAATATCTTTTTTGAGCTCTTTACTGGTATTTACCATCTGGATGTGTTGACAAAACAAAGGAGCCTACATGACAGTCTCCTCTGCTAATACTTCCCTACGTCACTCTGGCCTTCTCCACCCTTAAATGGAAACAACCCTAATCTACCTAAAAACCTTTTGTCACCATAATGTCTCGTTGTGGGGAACGTCAAGATCACAGCTCTTCTTTCCCAGCTGTGTTTATTGCACCGGGTGCCAGGCACAGTAGGCACTGCCAGGCTTAGGCACTGCTACTGTCTTAAATATCACACACAGACAAACACAAATCGAAAAAGGATGCAGGAAGTCTTAGAAATTTCAGTACTGGGCAAATGGTTACTGGATGGGAAACCAAAGAAAAGAATGTTATGAGACTGGCAGGTAGAAGATCAAAGACACGTGGCCAATATGGAGAGAAGGGAAAAAGAGGTCACAAACAATTTAAGGAGAATAACCTTGAAATATTCAAAACCTGTCTCCTGTAGTTCACCTAACATAGCAGTTGAGGCTAAACTCTCAAACTTCAGAGTAGCATTCAGGACACGACGAAAGCCTCTTTTAAAACGCACTTTATTTCTCGAGTATGCAGCGCTGGGGTAGAGCCCTCTCTAGTACAACATATTTAACTCAAGAATACAGGAGTGTGCATCAAGGCTGGTTCCAGAGTTAAGGGGAATGAACTATGAAGGGACAAAAAATAGCAAGAACCAGACCTTAATTCACCGAACAGAAATTGCGATTGAAATATTTTCCTTATAAATTTGAAATTTTCTCAGAGGGATAGCACATACTGAGAGAAAAAGAGGAAATCAAAACAAAAGAGCGGAAACACTCAGGATTTTTTGATGATAATAATAATAATAATAATAATAATAATAATAATAATAATAATAATAATAATAATAATAATAATAATGAACACAGTATAGAGAAGACATAGCAAAGCTACTTACTGTGGGGGATCTGAATCAGAGAAATTTACTGGGACCTGCTGGAAGGAAGTGAGAGAGACGCGTTAAGAACACAACTGATGATGTTGACCTTTGAAAAAGTTAAAAAGGAACTACAAGACATGTACACGAATTAGCAACACATGATACTTTAAATTAATATGATAGAAGCTGGATTGAGTGTAGTTACCACCAGGGCACAGGTACGCAACTTATTTTTAATTGTAGCCACAGGTGTGGCGAATTGAAGTGAAATCCACCACTCCACGAAAAAAAAAAATGCGAAATTGGATTGGTCATCTGAGAATGAAAATTATATATATAAGCTGTGTGAACAAGTTTATCAAAGAAATGTGAATTTTGATTCAAAAGCAGAAAAGTATAGAAAAATTAATAATTTTAACAATAAATAGAATACTGAATGCAAAATTTGAGAGTTTTTTTGTCCCCCTGACAAGTTAAAATTTTATGTTACTTTTATTAATTTTGAACTCGAGGGAAACATCTCCAACCCCCTCCAAAATTGACTTAAAAAAACGATTTAGGATTGTATTTTTAACATGAACCCGGGCGTTCAAAAGGGTTTCTTCACAACCCATGTTTTTAACACACTAAAAAATTCGAAATCCCTGTTTTTAAAAGCTGGGGGATCCTGTCAGCATTTTTTTAATAATTTATATTTATATATATATATTATTATATTTTATATATTTTATATAATATATATATATTATATATATTTATATTTTTATTATATATAACATTGTTTTATTTATTGAGCCAAAATATGGCAAACTCAGTTTCCCCAGACTGCCCCCCAGACCTTTTTTCCCCTATTGTGCTCTTGGTGCAGGGCCCCCCCCCCTGGCACGAGCGTCACACGGTCTGTACTTTATTAGAAAAACAAAGTACCGGAGACGAGAATGGAAGGGAAAACCCAGAAAACCCGCAAGATGACTGTGAAGGAAGTAGAAGTTTCCCCTGAGAGAAATAACTGGTGAAGAAAAGGGGAAAAATGTGACAGCCCGAAAGGACTACTGTTTGGTGTGTGGGATTTATACCAAAAACGAAAAGATTTGGGAAAAGACTCCATGGTTCAACCAGGGTTTAAACCAGGGTTTTGAAGCTGCGTCAAACATAAAACAGGGAAATAATAAGAATCAAAAAAGAAGCTAGGAACATTAAATAAAAAAAAGTAAGCCTGGAAAAAATTTTTGAAAAAAAAGGTTTTACCGGGGAGGCAATTAAAATAAAAGGGTTTTTTTACAAAACGTAGTCAGGTTAGTTGAATTAAAAGGTGGCAAACAGTAGCCCCTTTTTTATATAGTGTTGTAATAATTCCCCGCCAGTGGAATTATTACAATAAAAGGACAAAAACAAAAGATGCAAGGAAGAGTCCAGCGATGGACCCGGCGGTCGTAACACTGAAAATCTGAGCCCATAAACACGAAAGGAAAGGAACGTTTCTAAGAAAATCTGATCAAATTCAGAGTGGCCAGTTGGGGTGGTTGGATTTCATCTTAAATTGGAACAGGAAGACCGGGTTAAGAAAAAAATGAGAGGAGGGGGGGGGGGGGCTACAAACCTAAACAAAGACAAAAAAATCCGGAGTGAACAGTACGTCAAAATATTACTGGAAAATTACATCAGTTTTGGAACTCTACAGGTGGTTTTGCGGCGAGCGCTCACAGATGGGCGAGCGAGCTGCTCACAGGTGGTGGGAGCGAGTGCTACAGGTGGGGAGCGAGCTGCCCCGAAGATGGATACTTCAAAAACAGTGGTAAAGCATACTTTAAAACCAATTTGATACACTACGTATGCGCTTTCTTAAAATTTTCAAAATACCAACTTGAACTTCTTATTTTTCGAGCATTTCCAGAAACTATATAGACCCAAAAGTTTGAAACAATTAGGTGAAAAAGTGGGGCACTCTAAGGAAAGATTCAAAAAAAATTTTCCACATTACCAAATGGGGACATGTTTTGGACGCACATGATATTTGAAGGTCGGGGGGTGAAGAGGAATAAACTTTTTCAAATAAAGAACACGAAAAAGGGAAACATAGAAATTTTCACAGGGATGCTGGGATAAAATTTTTTTGCCTTGGGGGAAAGAAACTTTAAATTAAAGGGATGTGAGTGGAGTGTGGTGGAGCGACACGGGTGGGCACGTAAATCTGTGATTAGTAGACCTGTCCTTGTGACACTTAAGTTGATGGTGTTGTACCAGTAGTTGTTTTTTGGTTTTAACACAAGGCCCTTTCTGGTTTGTAGCACAAGGTTTTTACTGGGTTTTTTAACCAAAAATTTAGTGGCTTATAACAAAGGTTTTTCCTGGCTTAAACAAGGATGTTGTGGCCTTTTAAAAAGGTTTTTTTTAGCTTATAAAAAGGGGGGTTGTGGCTTCCCAACAAAGTTTGTTTTTGGTTTATAACAAAGGTTTAGTGGTTTATAACAAGGTTTGTTACAGGGTTATAAAATTTTACTGGGTTGTAACAAGATGTTTTGGCTTTTAAACAAAAGTTATTATGGCCCCTTTTAACAAGGTTTTAATGGGTTTTAACAAAGGTTAAAGGCTTA